ATATTTTTTTTCAACCGGGGATTGAACTCAGGCCCTTAATGCTTGCCAGAGAAGTGCTTATTCCTCTGAGCCATCTCCTCAGCCCTATAAATAATAAATAGCAGAACTAAACATAAATCCAAGCTCCTTAAATGCAGATCTTTCATAGTTTTTACTGAGTGCTCCGATGTGTCCTCCCTCATATAAAATGAGGAAAAGGAAATGAGCTGGAAAATACTTGTATTAAAGAATATACTTTTTCTCACAATTTCCAGGTGGCTCTTTCAGATGTCCTATTTGCCTTTTGCCTAAGGCTGGTAAAAAACAGGGCTCTGCAAAATACCTCCCTAACACAGGTTTGCTGGGGGCAGCTCTTTTCTGCACTTCTGGGAAAGGAAAACCTGATTCTCAGCACCTGTGAAGAGCACATGGGCTGACACTGGGGCAGAACTGGCCTCTGGTCCCTTGGCTCCAGCCTGTTTGTTCCATCAGCATTTCTCTAAAGGGCCAGAGGCAATGTGTGTGTGCACCTAGCTAGCTACAGTTTGAGCAGGTGTGATGGGATGTAGTGGGGGCATCTGGAAGCTGTGAGGGCTTTGAGCTCTGGGGGTACAGAGACACCGGGTTTCCTGCCCAGTTCCTGCTCTGGACTGGTGAGACTGTGTCTTGTAAAGGGTCTCCCAACCATAGGAGGTATCTACTTTACTTCCCTCCAAAACCCTAAAAACCTTATTAATAGCTTTACAATTCATAATTTTAGGCATATAAAACCCCAAGACAGAAAAGCCAAACTGGCATCGAAATATACTAGCCTTAAAAAGATTATGGTGCATACATTTTTGTGTGTGCCACAGCACCTCATCCCTCAATTGTGGGCTTCAGTTCTTCCCTAGGTGTTCTTTGCCTGTCCCGCCCCTCCCCGCCCCTCCCCGCCCCTCCCTGCTCCTCCCTGCTCCTCCCTGCTCTGTTCTCCCCTCCCCTCCCTTCCACTTCCACTCCCCTCTCCTCCGCTCTCTGGTGGACTCCAGCCACTGCACCGTCTGGCTCCTGCAGGATTTCCTCCCAGTCCCTGCCCCAGAGCGGCCGCCTTGCATCTTGGGCGTCTCAGTTCCTGAGTGAGCACGCTCGGTGGCCATGCGCTCCGACGATGACGCCCGGGAAGGTAGGAGCTAGGCTTCTTTCCGGGCCACCGGGCTCTGTGGAGCAGTGGGACAGTGGGCTCTAGCCAGACGAGGTGTGGAGGAGCGCGCTGCTCTGTAGCTCTCCCTCGATACCTTGTGCCGCACCCCAAACTTTGTCTTCCCCGGATGCTTTGTTGATCTCCCACAATACTCTGTCGCTCTCTCCGCATACTTTGCATACTTTGTTGCGAGGTGCTGTGCTGAGTGCTGGCCTCCGCCCCTCCCTGGCGGTAGGGCAGGACTGAACGACCCAGACCTCCCGGCTGCCTTGTGGATTCCCCTAGTAAGTACTGGACCCCGAGAGCAGGACTTGTGTGTCTGCCCAGCCCGCAAGCCAGACCTGACAAGCCCAGAGCCCAGGCCCCCGAGGAAAGTGGGTTCAGACGCTGGAAACGACTTGAGTTTCCGGCTAGGAGGGAAAGCCGAGCGAGGGGGGAAGCCAGAGGTCTTTATTTGGGAAATAGGCTGGCGTGCCTTTTCCCCCTCGCTGGGGTTTCAGCAGTAAGTTCATCTTGTTGGGAGCTGAATGATAGGAGGGGCCTTGCGCATCTCGAAACTTGTGAGAGTCTGTTTCCAACTCTGCAAAGGCAGTTTCACTTACTCAGAATAGAGAACGGGTGATGGGCTGGAAAAGCTCCAACGAAAACACAATTATGTGCTGGCGTTAGTTTGGGGGAGTTTATTTGTGTGTGAGCGTTTGTATGCTTGGTTCCCTTAAGCTTTATATATACAAAAGTCCTCTTGTAAGTAGGGGTAGTTGGGGAGAATTAGTAAGCGGGGAGACTGTTAGAGATTGTAAAGTTACCCTTTTCAAGTAGCCTCTTGGGAAATGGAAACTTCAAATCAATCACAGCAGCCCTGGCCTCCTGAAGAGCAAGAAGGGCCCCAGCATTTCTCCAGTGTAGACATCAGTGAAGGGGAACCCTTGAAACTGGGCTCCTCTGTTTCTTACTAATGCCAAATGCCATTTCTCAATTTTGTCGCTTGGACTGGATTTTGCCTTGTTATGCCATGTGAAGGAAAGAGTCTTTTTTTTTTTTTCTTTTAAAAGTTGTAGTTACTAAGTAGGGGTGAATGAAAAGTGACAGTCAGGACATTGTGTCTGAGCTAGCTAGCTGTAGCTTGGGGGATTTCCTTTCAGGGGCCTCTGTTCTCATGGAACTAGGTGCCCATGATTCCTTTTTATGTCTTTTTAATCATACCATCATTTTCTTTAAAGTTAAATGTTTTCAAAGGCAAATAGTAACTGGACTGAGAAACCCATTGGTGAAGTTTTGTGTGAATTAAGTAGAACTGAAGTGAGTATTTATCTCCAGGCATGGTTTTCCTCTCTAGGGAAAGGAGCAGTGGGAAGAAAGTGGAAAAAAAAAAAAAAAAAAAAAAAAAGCTTATGAAGAATGTGTTAGACATTCCGCTAGCAGTATCCCCAGACTTCCCTCTTTGCTGCATTCCATGGTTGGAAGCTTGGAAGCTTCCAGAACTGAAGTGTCCTGGCTCCCTGGACTTGTTTGTTCCTCGGCTTCCCTCCATGTGTTCAGTCCGAACTTTGCATAGACTTAGTTCTGTCTTTTGAAGAAATCCCACAATGTTTCTTTTAAAATAATAGGAGGTGCTACAATTTTAAATTGATAGCCATTAGGATAAAATGTTTGAATATGGAAAATAATCTTTTTTAAAAATGTATCAGTTATTTAATTAGGTTCTTAGTAAGAAATTTAAAATACTAATTTATGAGGATAGATTTCATTTGTCAGAGCAAAAATGGATCACAGGTAGCCCTGGAGCTGAGGAACAGCTTTCATTTTTGCTAAAATCTGTGAGTCCACTGCTTTCTGATCTACCTTGTGCTGCTCTGAAATCTGGTATTTCTTTCTTGGTTTCCAAGATCTCGCCCTCCTGGTGCCTGGGTTTCTGTGGCTTCTTCTTGAAGTAAGCATCAGTGAGGTGTTTGGGGATATTCACTTTGCTGATATCACTTTTTGTAGAGGTGGCAATGACAAATTTCTGGTGTGTTCTTCGTAGAGGAACACGATTAAGGCTAAGAGGCCCAGTCACAAGTAGCAAGCCACTGGCCAACTGCTTCAGCAGGACCACTCTCTTGCCTCTGTGATGCCCAGTGAGGATGATCAGGATGGTGCCAGGAGTGATGTTAGCTTGAAGTTTCCTCACATGCTGACTCGAGGGTTTCTTGCCATGGCTCAAGAGCATCTTCAGTAGGGTAGTATCTAGGCATTTTCAAAGCTTAACTGCCCGGGTACTTCTATTCTTGTCACCACTGACTGGTTTTGTGATTGTAGCAAGAACTTTCTCCTTTTTCTTCTCAACCTTTTATTTAGCAGCTGTGTACTTTCTCTTATACAAAGCCTTTCTGGAATACATAGCAGCTCGGGAGTATTTACCAATTCCTCTAACCAGGACAGGATTTTGGCTGCAGTGGGGCTGCCCCTTCTTAGACTTTTTTTTGCTTTCACATTACCCTTTTCACCAGTACCACTGGCAGAAACCTTCTTGGCTTCGGGTTTCTTCTCTTTAGTGTCTAGCTTCTCAGTTTTTTCACCCGCCATCTTACGAGATGGGAAGGAGAACTAAGTTTCTGGGAAATAATCATTTTGTTGATGAGTTGGAAACATTATAACTACTGTCAAGAAAGAATTGCGTGTGTTTGTGCATGTGCACACAACACACATGCACATCATGGACACTTCCTACAAGCGTGGTTACTGCCTGTTGTGTAGAACTCTTCCTTTGCCTTTCACCCCTCAGATGTCTAAGAAGCCATGCTGTATAGGTGTATCAGTCAGCTTCTCTATCACTATTAATCCTTATCTGCCATAATTCCTTGGGTTCCCCCACTAACAGTTTTATCTATCACATTTATCCTGAAATCACCACTAGTTCATCACAATGTCTGCATTTGGCAAAAACAGTCTTCAGATGCTGCATGTTTGATTTATAGGGGTTTTCTTGTTTTTGTTTTTCGTGGATCCAGGGCTTGAACTCAGGCCCTTGAGCTTGCCAGGGAAGCGCTTATCTAACTGAGCTATCTCCCTAGCTCCTTGTTTGATTTATAGTTATGGTAGATTTTTTTAAAGTCATTATTCTGAACTGTAGTAAAAACTACTATGCTTTCTTTGAGGATAAATCTGAAAAAAATATCAAATCAGGTTTATAAGTCCTTAGAGGCCAACATAGTTGTGTATATGCATGAATATAGAAGCAAATGATGGGACATTGTTAGGCTGCCATCACTGAGCATGTACCTGACTCTGGGCCAGGAGTGTTTTAACCTCTGTCCTCAGCCTGCAGCCACCTTGTAAAGAAATGATCCAATTTTTCCTGCTTACTGTACTTAGATACTGTGATTGTACTTAAAGACTTAAACTGAGGAACATAGCCATGCTCAAGGCTTGTCTTATTAAAAACTTGAATGAGTTTAGGTATCTAGAGAAAATGAGTAGGAAAACAAGAGAAATGAAAGAAGCCCACTTCATTAAAAAGGGGAAAGCCATTGAAAAAGGGGAATGCCATTGAAATGTCATCAACTTCCAGTGGACAGCGCTTCCTGAGGAGATTGCTGATGGTCACATATTTGACATTTAGTTGCTTCCTGTTGAGTAGATTACTTAGTTATGTGATAAAGATGAATGGTAGTTGATATCTATGGGGATCTTTTTCAACATAAGCATTAAGAAATTCAAAACTCTTGCTCTGCACTTAACAGTTTTGGTACCAGAACTTGAGAAAGCTGTTGTCAGAAGGGGTTACTGTGATGACTTGAAAAAGAACAAAGACTGAGTGGTTGAGGTGTGAGAGCTCCCTTTCTTCTCACTGCCCACCAGCCACTTCCTCCTACTACCTTGGCAGTTTTCTCATGCCTCACCAGGCCTGCCATGTTGCAAAGACAACAGCAGCTACCAGACTGCTCCCTCAGTTTCTTGTTCCCAGCCAGGAAGATTACCATCACCTACATCTACCTCTTGGTGTCTGGAGTAGGTGTCACCCACTATAGAATGCCATTCCTGCTGGCTTGGGGTTCTGCAAACAGTAGGCCACAAGTCTTTTCTGCCTTTTCTCCTGCACTTACGTGAGCTGAAGCTCTTTATTCTAAGATACTGACACTTCCTGGTCTTCCATCTCCACCCAGCCCCCTTCTTTAGCCAGCTCCTTGGAGAGGCTTTTCTGAACCCTCTGCCTGCCCCATAATTCCAGTAGTCTTCTCAGAGCACCTGCTCCTTCCTCTGTATCCATCACCCCAATTTATATCTCTTCTCTGCTAGTCTGCAAGCCCTGGGAGGAAACACTATGTCTGCAGGACCTATGGCTCACTCTGTATGGTAGAATGAATCAATGACCTCAATATAAAGTCAGTTCTTAGCACTTTAACCAATTTTAGGCATTACTTATCATTTAAAATGAATTCTTTACAAAAATAGTGCTTTTTCGTGCTTCCTGTTTTTCCATTGCCATCCAACTGAAGTCTGGATTTGTCATCACCATTTCATGAAAATCACATTTGCCAAAATCACCAGTAATTCTGCATTTGCTTTTTCGTTGTTGTTGTTATTCTGATATTTTTACCTTTCTTAGCTGCATCTGACACTAGGAGACCAGGGTCTCTGTAACCTTAAAGTCCTTTGTTGGTGACTATGACACTACCCCTCCTGGGTTTTTTTGCTTCCTTTTTCTGGTTCTGCATTCCAGTCACCTAATCCTCTAGCCCAGGCCCTAATAAGAACTACTTGTATACAAAGCTTTCTGGTAGACACCATACTTTGAATGTCCCACAGACTCGTAGACTCAGTAGGTCTGAACTGAGCTCATTCTGCTTTGCTATCTACAAAACTTATCTTCTATACCTTTTTGGCTTTCAAACTACAAACTATAAATTGTCCTTGATTTTTTTCTGCCCCTTATCTTCCAGCTCATCACCAAGACCCAGCACCTTATATTCTCCATTATCTATTGACTTCTTCCTCCCTCA